CCCACCTGTCCACCTGCCCACCTGCCCACCTGCCCCTTCACCTATCTACTTTTCACTCACTTGTTCCCATGCAGTTGTTGATTCATTCAGCTCCTCACTTGCTGTGCTTGCCCTCCTGCTGTCTGCCTGCTGCCTCTGTTTACCTCGGGGAGCAGACACTGAAGCAGACGCTTCCCACCGCCCTGCTGCTTCCCCTGGGCCAGGAGATGGCAGCTTCTAGTCTCCTGACCTCACCCAGAGGGAGGCCTGAGAGAGGTCCCCCTCCTCCCCATCAGAGATAAGCCGGCCTGAGGCCTGCAGCTCGGGGGGGGGGTCCCTGCTCCTGACCCCAAGGACCTAGCAGGGCGGTGATGCAGCCCCTCCCACCCAGGAAGGCCACAGGTCACCCCCAGGCAGGGACTGAGAGCAATAAGGCCCATCAGGGCCACATGGGGACCTGACTCCAGCTTCCGGCCTTCTTTCTGCCCTTCGCCCTGATTCCGAAATTGTCCCCCGCATTCCGGACACATCTGACCTGGCCTGGGGCAGCTTCTCCTGAGCCCGGGATGGCGGGGAGCACTCCTTCCTCAGTGCCTTAAGTCGGGGTCAGCTGTGTGGGCCCCACAGCCTGGGGAGCCCCACTCCCCTCAGAAACACCCTCCGGGGCCTGCAGGGGGCTCGGGCTGCTCTGCTGCCCCCAGCAGGGAGGATTCTGGGACAGACTTGTTGGGGTGCCCAAGGGGTGGAGTGGGGTCCAGGGAGGGCTGCGCCCTTGCATCGCCCACAGGGAGTCATGGGCTGCCTCCACCTGACAAGTTCCAGGGGCAAACTGTGGTTGTGCTGTCCCTTTAGCATGCGGGGCCTGGCAGGCCGCCCAGCCGGGGCTCGGGTGTCCAGTGACTGAAGGAGCACAGTGAGGTCTGGAGGAGCCGAGGGTGTGGGAGAGGGGTGTCCTCAGAGTGGCCCCGGGGCAGGGCTGGGGCCTCGGGAGCCCAGAACCTCAAAGATCTGACAGTTGCAGGGCGGTGACCTCACCATGTCCCCTTCGCCTCACCTATCAGAAGACAGGTGGACCTTGGAGAATAAATTACACGGGTTCTGATGAAGTCTTCTACCTGTTCAGCCTCCCTCTCTCTCTCCCAGCCCCCAGCAACCACTGATCTCCACTGTCTGCACGTCATTTGATCTTTTCCAGAATGTCACAGAGTTGGTATCCTGCTGTACGCAGCCTGTTCAGATGGCTTCTGTCACTGAGCAATAAGCAGTTTAGGTTTCTCCATGAACAAGGTCTGACAATTAAGTTTGTGAACTCATCCTAGGAAAAGTGCTACATACCTCATTGCTGAATGTCACTACGGTCACCTTCAAAGTACTCCTCTTGGGAAGCTATGCACTGACGCCAGCACCTAGTCCACCCTTCAAAGCAATTTTGGAACTCTTTTTCTGGAATGGCCATCAGAGCTGTCGTCATATTACCCTTGATGTCCTGAATGTCATCAAAATGTCTTCCTTCTGGGGGCCGGCCGTGTGGCTCAGTTGGTTAAGAGCTCGCTCAAGAGTTTGAGCTCTGAGCAACAGCAGTTCGTGTCCCGGTCCAAGCTGAGCAGCCGCTGAGCTGCCAACAGGTGGCAGGATGGCTCAGCTAAAAAATAAAAAAGAGGTCTTCCTTCTGGGCCGGCCAAGTGGCGCGTTTGTTAAGAGCTGACTTGGGACGCCAGAGGGCCCTGGTTCGGATCCCACATATGAAGGCCAGTGACACTGCCNCCCGTTTTACCAAGACAAAGAAGCTGGTCAGCAGCATCTGGCATTTGGCGGCACTGACTCGACTCCAAGAGCCCATGGTCCTCCCCTCTCCTCCCCTGCCCTCCCCTAACTGGTTCCCAGTTAGGCGGTTGGGTGGGTGGGTGGGGGCCTCAGACCACAGCTGCCCGCCCAGCAGCTAGGCTGTCTGTCAACACCCCTGAGAAGGGAACCGCTGGCCCCCACCCCTCCCGGAAGAGGTGCAGGCAGGAAGGGGCGGGCAGAGAGGCCAGCTCCTGCCACCTGCTGCTGCCTCGGCCCTGGACCTCTGCAGATGACGGTGGCCTGTCCTGGAAGGGCTGGGCCTCCCTCGTTCCTGGTGCGGCTGCAGAGGACATGCAGGGAGGCGGCGGGTGAGCCGGAGAGTGACACGCGAGCCACTGGGGCCGGAGGGGACGTGTGGGGCAACCGCCCACCTGGGTCTGGTCCTGGCGGGTTTGAACTTGGGGGCCACTGCTGACAGGGTGGGGCTGCCTGTGCTAGAGTTGCTCCCCTTGTACGTCTGGCAATGTGGGGAGCCCCTGGGCCCTCCCTGGGCCTGAAGCGGCAGGAGGGGGTCCCCAATGCCATGGGGCTGTGTTGGCGTCCCTCCAGGAGGAGCCCATGTGTGACCAGAGGGGCAGCAATTGCAAAAGTGTCGGGTGGGGGGTGCTTCAGGGTGTGGGCTGTGGGGGCCGGACAGCCCAACCCCCTCTCCAGGCCTGAGCCCCTCGCACTGCGCCCACCTCCCTTCCCCCATGTTGGTGAGAAAAGCATTGTGTGCCCGTCGGGGATGTAGTAAGGTGACACTGTGTGTTGCCAGCAACCTGGGCGCCTCCACTCTGACTTTGGAGTGGGAGCCAGGCCTGGGTTCCTTCTTTTTTTTAAAAAAAGATTTTATTGGGGAATTGGGGAAGGGAACAGCCAAGTTGTTGTCCTTCAGTGTTAGTTGTAGAGGGCACAGCTAGCTCAGCTCCAAGTCTAGTCATGTCGCTCAGCTCAAGGTGATGTGTTCAATCTTAGTTGTGGGGGGTCACAGCCCACCAACCCATGCGGGAGTCGAACCAGCAGCCTTGTTGTTGTTAAGAGCGCACGCTCTAGCCCCTGAGCCACCCGGGAGGCAGTTCAACTCAAGGTGCCGAGTTCAGTCTTTAGTTTTGGGCAGGTGTAGCCCACCATCTAGAACAGGCAACCTTGTTAGGAGCACATGCTCTCACCAGCTGAGCCATCCTGCCACCTGTTGGCAGCTCAGCGGCAGCTCAGCTCGGACACAGCATCACTGGCCCATGTGGGAATCCAACTGGCAACCCTGTTGCTCAGAGCTCGCGCCCTTGAGCAAGCTCTTAACCCACTGAGCCACTCGGCCTCAGGCCTGGGCTCTTGACCCCTCCTTGCTGAACACCTACTGTGTGCCTGGCACATCGCACAGATGACTTCACTATATCCTCCCAAAGTGGCACCAAACCCCTCCGTGGGCAGGTAACAGGGCTCTCCTGGTGACTGGCCACGGCCCCCCTACCCTGTGTCCACTGGCTGGGGCACGAGCCGTGCATATCTCAGGCGCCATCTCAGTTGTGCCGGGAGCCCCCACAGCCTTGGCTGAGCCACGCTCTCCCTCGCCTGCACCCTCCCCTCCCCAGAGGAAGTGGTATCTGAAGAGTTCGCTGGCCCTGCCCGGCCCTTGGCCACTCACCATCTGTGGGCACCTGGGGCAGCCCCCACTCCCAAGGGCAGCCTGTGGGAGCCAGGAGGGACCTGAAAGCAGCAGCTGCAACCCCAAGGAGCTGGCCCAGGGGGGAAGATTCCCCTGCCCCCACAGACCCAGTCCTGAGGGTCAGGCCCCACCACAAACCAGCCTCGGCTGCCCCCTGTCTTCATTTCCAGGGGAAGTGCCAGGCCTCAGTGTGTGCACGTGTGTGTGTGTGTGCACGTGTGTGTGTGTGCACGTGTGTGTGTGTTCATGTGCCTGTGTGTGTCTGTATGCATGTGCTTATGTGTGTGCCCATGACTGTGCATGTGCGTTCACGTTACTGTGTGAGTGCATGTGTGCGTGTGGGTATGTGTGTGCCTGTGTGCGCGCACCCATGAGCGTGCACGGGTGTGTGTGCACATGTCCGCATGTGTGTAATATGTTATTTGCCACCCAGGGACCTCCTTTTCTCCCGCTTTCTCGCCCTCAGCTAATAATTAATTGGGTAATTGAAACTGTTTTGTCACAAGAGACAACTGAAAGAGCTCCTGTGACCACAACTGGAACAACCTGAGCAAGGAAATCAATAACGTCGTATTTGACTATAAGCCACCTTGTTGCCACGAATCCGGGCTGTGTGACCAGGTGATGAGGAAACACATTAACGGGGAGGAGGGACAAACAGCCCCCGCAGAAGAAGAATCCCAAATCCCGAGTGCAGTGGACACCCCCCCACCCCACCCCAGGGCCGGGGGCCTGACTCCCGTGCTGGAAGTGGGCTGCCCAGAGTGACAGCCTTCCCCTGCCCGGGAGCACCGGATGGGATGGGAGGACCAAGCCTGACAGCACACCTCGGCCAGGTGAGCAAGGCCAGCGCTCCCGGCGGAGGGCATGCTGACAGCGTGCGTCCTGACATGGACGGGGCGAGAGGGGCACCTCCCCTCTGCGGCCCCGTCTAATCGTGACATAAACGTCAGACAAACCCCAACAGGGGGCATCCTACGAGACACCGGACCAGTCCTGCTCAGAACTGTCAAGGCCAACAGAACAAGGGCAGTCTGAGACGGTCCCAGCCCAGAGGGGCCTGAGGAGGCGAGACGACTCACTGTGAGGAGGGGTCCTGGGTGGGGACGTGGGACAGAGAAGGACACTGAGGAAAACTAAGGAAATCTGAATGAAGCGTGGCTGTCGTTAACAATGACGGATCAATATTAATTGATTTGTTGTGGCAAATGTCACATGCCCACGTCAGATGTTGGTAACAGGAGAGCTGGGTGTGGGGTGCATGAGAACCCTCTATCTTTGCAACTTTTCTGTAAGCCTAGAACTGTCCTAAAATAAATCTTATTTTAAAAGCCGGTTTTGTCCACCACCCGAGTCTCAGCACAGAGGGGAGCAGGCACTTTGGGCTGCCTCGGCCCATCCCCTCAGTGGGTCATGAACTCGCCCCCCCACCTTGCCACCCCCACTCCATGAACTGTTCATTTACTAAGACATCTGCTCATTCACTGATGTCACCTGCCCACATGTCTACCTGCTCACCTCCCCACCTGCTCACCTGCCCACCTGTCCACCTGCCCACCTGCTCACGTGTCCACCTGTCCACCTGCCCACCTGCCCACCTGTCCACCTGCCCACCTGTCCACCTGTCCACCTGCCCACCTGCCCACCTGCCCACCTCCCCACCTGTCCACCTGCCCACCTGTCCACCTGCCCACCTGCCCACTTGG